CATGCAGTCAATATATTTAAAACTTGATAATACCAAATAAATTAAATGGAGAATACCATCTAATGTGAATAAAGATTAATTCAATTTTTTTTTTATAAAGAGAATTTCTTCGCGTACTTTAGTTTGAGAAACGCTGATCTCAAATCTTCAGCTTCTTTTTATTTTCTGTGAGCATTTAAATTTACAAGAGTTGCCAATATATTTACATAGTCTATGCAAAATTTTCAACTAGACTCAAATTCCTAAAAAAAATTTGAAGGGGAGGGTTGGCGCCCGCAGTCAAATGCATTTTAGAAAAATAAAAGGTGGATTAATATAACCAATTTATACAAAATCCTATCCTAACATCATAACCGTACTAAAATCAGATGAATAAAAAAAAAACAAATTTAACCCTTTGTAAATTAACCTATATTCTTCCCAGAGGTCTAATATACCCGCAAACATTAATTTATATAATATCTAACTATATAAATACACAGACTTTAACTATACAGACTAAACTCCAGTGTTGGGTAGTAACGTAACGAAAGTAACGCGTTACTGTAACGCCGTTACTTTGTTTGTAACGCGTTACGTAATTTAATTACAATTATTTTCAAATAACGAAAATGTAATGAAAATTACTTTTGATGAGTAATTTACATAGTATAACGCGTTACAGTTTTAAATTATTTAGTACCTATTGCGAATTTCAAAAAAAAAAAAACTTAAAAATATAATGTCTAATGCGGGTATTATTTATTATACAAGTGGTTAATTATTATACGTTCCTAATGTTCTTATTAACTATTGTCTATTATTAAGCATAAACATTACGTCTGTACATGCACTAAAAATAAATATTGATGGATAACCAATGATAAATCGAATTATTTACATTGCAGTGTTATAAATAATTATTATTGCTGTTTGGCATTTTACAAGAAACGGTGAAAATAATAAACTTATCTAATATCTTTATTAGTAATGACTAATGAGTAATGACCGAATATTCATATGTACAATTTATTACTACTATTTTTAATAGTTATAACTTAAAAGTTATAAGTAATTACTAATTAATATTGTTAGGTATGTATTTATATTATTAACTGTAGGTACATCTTTTTCAAATAATACCATATCTTCTGTAGGAAGTGTATTTCTAGTTCCTTCGCTTTTTAAATGATAATAGCTAAGCAATTAAAAAAAAAATTATAAAAAAAAAAATGTAACGAGAAAGTAACGTAGTTACTTTTCTATTTGAAAAGTAAAGTAATTTCATTACAATTTTATTTGAGTAACGAGTAAAGTAACTTTATTACATTTCTCTCTAAGGAACGAGTAAAGTAACTTTATTACTTTTTAAAAGTAATTTACCCAACACTGCTAAACTCTGAAACTGCTTATAAGATATTATTGTATAAATTATATACCTAAAAAATAATAATACAAATCAACAATCATGACCGATTAACCGATAGCAACCAATATAATATAATACTGCACAAGTAAATTTTCCTAAAACGTTCATTCATATAAACCTTCTCTGTGAAATACTCTTTCGTTTAAAAAAAAATCAAGAATATCTAATAAGTAGTTTCAGAGTTAAGCCTGTACAGAGATTTTTATTTAAATCTAAAATCTTAAATCTTAAATAGGTATTCATTTTAATCTACAAATTCATTAAGATCATTAGATCTATATACACACGAAATGTATGACTTGGATAAAGTCCACTAATGCATTCAAGTTCGACATGACCAGCAAAGTACTCGCCATCTATGCTCATCAAATGTTTAAAATAAGTGTAAACATAGGTGCGTATATAATGTATTTAAAATATAAATGTCAATAATTGTTTTAAATACCTACAACCTAAAGTGTTCCAAGGTGTATAGTGCATTTTATAATAATTATGCAAAAAAGATAGGTACCCATACGTATTAAACTTAGAGCGGTGTACTGTTCGGGCACACGTATTTTATACATTGCGCGTTAAATGTGATAATTTGAAAACAATTTCTTAAAACTACTAAAATATTTTCTCTGTTGTAGCTGAATTGCCTATACAATGCGCCGTGTTAACAAAATTTTGTATTTCATTTTTTTTCGAATATACCTACTAAAACTATATTATTATAATATTATAATTTATGATATACAGGAAAAATGAACAATATGGCAAAAATAAAGAACAGTAACGTCTTAACCGTGCTGAGTGTGCTGAGTCTAAACTAGGTAAACACATTTTAGATAACAAAAAAAATAATTTAGAAAAATGTATACCATAGGAACCACATTAAAGAGTTTAAACTAAAATGTCCAGAACCTTAAACAGAAAAAACATATTCGAAATAATTAGTTCATTACAGAGAGTATATTCATAGGGAAACTGCAAGTCCTAAAAAAAAAATTGAAGGGGAGTGTTGGCGCCCGCAGGCAAATGCATTTTAGAAAAACAAATATAATTTTAGAAAAAATTATACGATATTAATAAGGCATATTGAATCTATATACAATAGATATACTGCATACTAGATAATATTTTTATATATTGCCTATTTTTACATTATTATTTATGTCATGTTATGACATAGACATATTAATATATACATGTCTATAGTCTATGTGTTATGATGACAATATGCCTGAGCCTGATGCCCTGATGCCAGTATGTACGGTTGTCATAACGCCAATAGAATTTATTTATTTATAACAATTTACAAATATTATTGTATGATTTAGGGCGACATCTACTTCAGGAACCGTAGTTTCGGTGCAATAGTACGGCGCACCCCTGAAATTAAATTAAATGCAACACAACGTACAAGGTTTCTTATCACTATAGTCGTTCGAGAAATAGTTTGCTTTGGTCCCTCAAATTCACAGTTCACACACGTTTTTGTGATTAGAGTATAAATAATAAAGTTTATAATTTATAATTTATTAACTGTTAGAACGAATTAAAATTAACTATCTATAATCGTGAGTCGTGACTGTTGGACATTTAAACGGCCGCAGATATTCTCATTTCTCTGCTTACTGTTATTGCTTAGTTCATTGTTATTTGCAATTTATTATGTTAGCAATTGTGTGAAAACAGTAAAAAGCTAAGTAATTGCGAATAAAAATTTACACTTTATATTAGCTTTATCCACAAAGATTAAGTAAGTATATCAATATGTATAAGGGTAGATTCACCAAGCATGCCCACCCCTCTTTTTCTTATAATAATGAATTTATTCAAATCTTGATTTTTATGAATTTTAAAGTAACTGTACCTAAGGACCTTTTAAATACATATCTATATGATCTATAAAACAGCACGTAAGGAGTGTCACAGCGATACCAAATTTTTTTTTTCCCAGTTAATTGTTAATCATCGTGACTTTTGAAAATATCGATGAATTTAAATTTAAATTCAAACTAGAAGTTTTCGATTTATCTAACTTGGTTTACTTACTAAGGTGTTAGGATATTAAGTCGATGATAATGGGTTCAGAAAAATAGGGGTGAGCATACTTGGTGAATTTCCATGTATACCTATACTTTATCTCTACATAAGTAGAATACACTGGGCGGCACACATCTCCTACATAACGGTATAGGCGGAAAAGGGAAAAAATGAACAGGACTAGTGTATTCTACTTTTGAGACAAAGTATTGAGGATATGTTAATATTGTAAGCTACATCAATTTTAATCAGTCTTTTAATACTATAAACCTATAATTTATTAACAAAATACATTTTGAAGAATTCATAAAAAAGTTAGGTACTTATTTTTCTTATTATTTATACTGAAACAATAAATCATTTTTATCAAATTTTCCATAATGAAATAATATTTTGATTAATCTAAGCTGTATGTCTCAAAAGTATCACCCTTGTGGCATCTTTGTGGCAAATCAATATATTAAATGTGGTTTTTTTACAGTAATTTATAAGTATGAAAATTTTGATTGAATGGCATAAGATTCAAATATTTGTATGCAATCTAGTTTTCAAATTTTCAAAATAGCTATTTTATCGATAAGAAACAGTTAAAATATTTTTTTATCAAAATTGAGTGAAAATTTGCCAAGTAAAGCAAATTTAAATTATTGCCTTCATTAGAATTATACCTCGTTATGTTACTGTTAGCAAAACACAAATCACATGATTTAATTAATCTTGCAGATTTTTTTTATAACAATCTACTTTATCTACTCCTTACTTATTTTGTTTTAGATTTAAAAAATGATGTTTGCATTCTGACTACATGATTTCATTGACATGGTAAAATGTTAACTTCCAAATAATGAAAATTGCAAACAAGCTGCAAGCTTTGGAATTGAGTACCTATCATTTATCAAGATTGTCAAAAACAATGTTATATTAACAGATTAATGTCTTGATTTTTGGAAACACTTAAATAATTTAACAATTAACAAAGCTCCTCCCCTAATAATTAGATATTTACAAATTATCCTAAAAATAATATTCGTTCCATTGAGATTGATTAAATCATAATATAAGTGTTTTGCTAACATAACTATAGGTATTATTCTAACTAAGTCAACAACTTAGTTTGTTATAATTTGGTCGATTTTTGTTGAATTTCAATACATTTTTTTGAAAACTGTTTTTAAAAATATGACCACAAAAATAGCTATCTTCAAAATTTAAAAATCTTAATTGCAAACAAAATAATTTGTATTTTTGAAAAAATTTTAATCTTATGCCATTCAATTGGAATTTCCATTCTTTTACTATAAAAACACATTTAAATATTTTTTTTTTGCCTTAGATACAAGGGTGATATGGGACTCTACGAACATTCTGTATAGACATTAAAGAAACGATAGTCTTTGATTAAAAAGCATAAGTATAGCGCTAGTCACTGTAGCTATAAAAGAATGTAATGTTAAAAAAAAAATGTATGTTATTCATTCAAGCTTAAAATTTGTGTAATTTAATTATTAAGGAATTCATAAATATTAAATGTGTAAAAATATTTTAATTTTTTTCAGTTACAATGTTGTTAATGAGAACGTTTCGAACATGTTATTTGTGTCATTGTTCAAAAATGATCGCATCTAAAAATATGTCTGTTGCAGTAAATGAACTGAATGTAGTACCAGAACATGTATGTAACTTGGCTAAGCAGTTAAATGTAAAAAGTTCAATGTTATCCAAAGTTATAAACAACCATCAAGAGAAATTAAAATTTTACACCGAATCAAGGTGGCTAGTACTATTTGAATATTTAACCCAGTATGATTTTAAAACATCTGAGCTTCTAGAAATGATAGATTCAAATCCAGATATATTAAGCATAAATAGACAAAACTTACAAAAATGCATGATTGCATGGACTAACTTTCGCTTTGAAGACAAAAAATTAAGACAACTAATAATTTCACAACCTTCTTGTTTGTTGCTGGACGATAAGGAAATTCTATCCAGGATTCCTAAACTTTTATCATATGTCGGTAATAAACAAAATAGGTTATTAGAATTGATATCATATTCGCCAAATATTTTGTTTGACAATTGGAAATATATTGAGTCTAAATTAGATTATATATTGTTGAACATGGAACTTGGTCCTACTCAATTTGTAACGACGAGTGTTTTGTCCTCAACACTTTTTGATTTAAAGTGTAGACATAATTTTTTGGTAAAACTAGGTATGTACAAACCTCGAGATCCAAAGGCTAATCCAAATCTAATAACTGGTAATCCTTCATTGAAAGCAATCATTGAAACAAGTGATAAGCAGTTTGCTGTTAAAGTTGCTGGAGTTACAGCTGAAGAATTCTTTGTTTTTAAAAAAATATTTAAAAAACAATTAGATGAAGAGAATGATGATGATTCAGATGAACGTGAATATTACAGTGATGATGATTGATTTTTATATGTGATGTACAGTTTGTAGAAGACATTATTAATATTGTGTATAAGCTATAAATACACTAAGATACATATTTAAACAACTACTATAAAAAATCATTTTAAATTATGTAAAAAAAATAAAGTATATATAATATGATAAAATCATATTTTTTTTTTTTATTTAATCAATTGCATGTATTTTTTATGTTGTATAATTTGATTAACTTTACTGATCATTTTCAATTCAACTACTTGGACATTAATGCCACATTAATTATTTACACTTTCATAATGTATTTTGATAACATAATTTATTAGCCAAATTTTAAAATTGGCAAAAGTTTTTGATACAGTCAGAGGTTAAAGTGGAAAAAAATTACAGAGGGAACTAATGTCTCCATATAGTTTCAAGCGTTCCATATATAATTTTATGTACAATGTCTAATTTATAAAATCCTAATTTGTTTGGGACGCTTTTTAACCTCCATCAGAGGTAGGGGGACTGAGTCCTCCTGTGTCCCTCCCACTTTAACCCCTGGATACAGTAGATTACTGTTTATTATTTACATTACTCAGTTGTTACGGTATAAGTGAAATTTGCTGGTTTAAAAAGTTATCTAATTAAAAGAAAACAAATTAGTAATGTTAATGGTGTTTTAGATCAGAAAAATTAAGTTATATAATTATGTACCTCAAAACCTCAACTCCCAAGGAAGTGTAATTTCGTCCAAATTTAAACAAAATAACTATAAAAACAAACTGTGTTTTAATATTTTTAGGTTACAGAATAACCTATTAACGTGGAACCTTGTTTTTCAAATTTTCAATTTTTAGCTATAAAAGTTGAACATTATAACCATTTTTAACTACAAAATTATTTTTCCGTTTTCAATTTGATAAATTCTGTCAAAATACGAACTTTAAATACTTGTAAAAAAAAGTTGTGCCTATGTGTTTTTAATATTTTTCAACTGTCATTGTAACAATATATCAAGAGCTATTACACGAATACAAAAAGTTTTTGGATTCAATTAAAAACCGCCTCTTGTGGTTCTCTGGGCAATGGCCCAAAAATACTAATTTACACAAATAAATGAATCTATGAAAGTAGATAAGTACCAAGTGTTTACCAAATTCTTGATTATGTTATGTTAATTGAGAACGTAAGCAAAAAGAGCTATAATATTCTTGGACGGAAATTGAAATCGGTTTTAAAATACATAACATGTATTTGGGTGAAAAAAATTGCGGTTGAAAAGGAAATTTAATTTTTGAGCCAAAATAGTCCCGGAGCTGACACAATTTAAAGATATGTTTCTTCTAAAACTGAAAACTAACGTTCTGCTAGCTATATTAAATGAAGGTGATGTTGGTTAAAATCGTCAGGGACTTAAGACCCTATTGAGATATTGACCAATCAGTAGTAGTCATATATTGACAAACCATAAAATAAAATTGTATTGACCCTCATTTATTGTAGTTCATGCTAGATATTCTAGGTTTAATAATTACTAGTCGTCTAGTACCTACCTGGGCTATGGTTATAACTATAATAAATAATTGTATACCTACCTACTTATATATAAGTAAAATTTTTTCACAGTTCCACAATAGAACAGACCATCAGAATTGTTCTGTATTTCATATTATTATAATAATGTGTATTTTTATAACTTATAATATAGTTGATCGACGATCGTCTATTCCTGTCTTAAATCGATATACTACGGAACACTATAGGTACCTAGGTATTAAAAACAAATTCACGATGGAGGTGTGTCGTAATTATAAAAAATGTGAACTGTGGATTCCAATACGTAAATCAAATAGGTAGGTAACTAATTTTTGGGTGACAGTGGAAACAAGTAGGTAGGTAGTACTTGTCGTTCAATGTTGTTAATTTCCAGTATGGTTGTGTTCATTAATTGTTTCATGCCTTCATGGGTAGACACTCCATTTGTGAAAATTCTAACATCGCTCGTTTTTTTTTGTTCACTACCAATATTTAAATCTGTCTTTTTGTTGCCTATAATAAACTGTTATTGATGGAGATTTTGTTTGCATCATAATTTATAAACTCAGCTTAATTTTCCATATTTCACTTAAAAGTTAAAAGAACTCTAAATACCGAACATAAACATGCAGTGGCGTGTATATAATTATTGTATGGAGGGGGGATCAGAAAAACAAATGTTAAAGTAGGTACCTGTGTCCTGCACATTAAAATAATAAATAACAAAACATAATATAGGCATACTTAATACATTTCATTTCAAAACTCCTAGCTGATTAATATTAGCTGTAAATTTGTAATGCCCTAACACCAAGAACATTATTTTATAAAATGTTAAAAAAAAGGCTTATGGGAGGGGATATGACCCCTACATCACCCCCTTAATTGTATTCGCCAATGTACATGCCAATAAGAACCTAATATTAAATTGGGTTATAAATACTTATAATATAAATGATGAACACATTTTTTAAAAATAATATATCGTTGGTTAATTTTCTATATACCTAACAGTATTTTATATTTTTATATTGTAACTTGTTAACTATAGTAATAAGTAATTAGTACTAGGTAATGTAGGTACTACTGTCCACTTTGTTTTAACTACCTACTACACATCATGAAGTAGGTAGGTGTTTATAATAGGCTATAGTAGCGTACGAAGACAAGTAGGTATGAACCAGAATTCAGAACCATAAACACAATATTATATGGATCATGATCGGACATTGTGTTGAATATGTATCGATGGATGTTGTGGCGCATATTTTATAATATTGATTCGAAGGGCTGTTCTGTTACGACAATAGGTTGCGTGTTGTCATTATATCGATATAGGGTGATACAAACACCTTGTCGTTTCAATAAAATTAGTCTATGGAAAAAAAAACACTACTCGATAATTATTGAAACATTGGCAACTATATCAAACGGTGCTCTACGCGACTCCCTCAAACTCACCCCAACACGCTATTATAAAAAGGGTCAATTGGTGTATACATTGTACATTAAGTTCAAATTGAGGTCGCATTATATACAATGCATTGTCCCATGCCGCAAAAAGGGGAACAACGTAGTAAGGAATAGTGTACGTTTATATATATATATATATATATATAAAATATACGTACATATATATTTTACACAGTACGCACATACTATATAATATACGTACATGTTATTATACACTGACAGACAAAATAAATAGGGTAGACCCTTACGCACATCGCCTATAGATGGATATACACAATCATATTGCAGCTGTCTAAAGCTTACGTCACAACCGCACACCTAAACTCACACACTCGTGTGCATCATAGAATATAATATATGTGCGCCCACTATACTCTCACTCTTACTTTTTGAAGGTTTAAGTTTATAATCCGACGTTGAGATCACCAAACTCGCGTATTTCGATTTGTTTTTTTTTTGTACGTATGTAGATCACCCTAAAGATTAAACCTTTATACTGTAGACTATAGACCATTGAGGGATTATCATTGAATATATATATATATATATATATAGGTATAGGTTTATAAATTATATTCTTATATAGATAACATGGGTGATAACTCGTTTTGAAATTAAATTCGATTAACTCTTTGATACGAAAACATTGTAAACACTAAGCGTATATTGTTTATTAAAAAAAATAAAATAATACTGATGAAATTATTAAATTCAATATGCGTTGATCATCATTTTTTGCCATATTCGTAAACTTATTATTGATATTATTATTATTTGTATAATAATTAATATTAAATTCACAGAATATTATCTTTGGTTAGGTTATAGCTTATATAGGTATGTATAAGCATGTTAGTATGTATATGGATATGGATTGTATCATAGGCGTAATCTCGGGGGTGCAAAGGGATGCACTTGCACCCCCTGGAATTGTTGAGGGGGTGCAAAACTATCATTTTGCACCCCCTAAATTTTCTATATTTATAATGTATAATTTTGCCAATTTTTTAAATATTTATAAAATAATGTTAACGTTATTAGACATTATTAGTAACACCTATAAGTTTTATAATCATGAACTTCAAATAGAACTAAAAATCTTTATTAGAATATTCAAATCTAAACAAACTAACTCAAATAATAGTGTATTTTAAAACAAATTACTAATTAGATTATATGAAACAAGGTGAAATTAAAAATAGGTGTCCTTTATTATCTGAAATTTTAACACTATTTATGACAATACCTACAAACACTATCATCTTGTAAACGAAGTTTTTCCTGATTACGAAGGCTTAAAACTTACCTCAGAACAACTGTGGGACAAGAATGGCTGTCTGATATAGCTATGTTACAACTTACAAATTGATAGAAATCGAGTTATAGATTCTGAAATAAATTGTAATCGACGAGTTCAATGCAGCAGCAACTGTACATGGTAGATGCTTAAGTTTAATTTAATTTTGTTAATTAATATGTATTAATATTATATCAATGTAATAAATTACAGTGTCTACTAATTATTTTAATTTATATAATAAAATGTATTTACTTCATATTATTAATGATAATACTAAATTGTGTATACAATTTTGAATTTTGATCGAGGAACTGGTATTGAAAAAGTAGTAAATAAATGTTCAAGCGGTACCTATTTTGCAATTTTGTAGAAAGTTTGTAACTTTCCTGATTAGTTTTGCACCCCCTGAATTTTAGCGAAATTACGCCTATGGATTGTATATTTACAATGTTTAAGGGCGAGGGGCTTCATAAATAAACATAGGTAATAGTTAAAAAAGACAAATAAAATTTACCTTGATCTAATAATAAAATCAGTATTTATATTTTATATAGGTACATTTCGATAACATTTTTTTATAAATTACTTTTTTTTTTTAATTTTATTAGAACAAAAAAAGAGGTGGACCCCTCTGCTGTACAGTAGTTGTCAATCATATTGTTGTAATGGTTGTGTTATATTTGAATTCAACGAAAAACGATTCTGAACGGAGACGTTGTAGTTGTGTCAG